TTGCGCGATCGGATGGATGGAGGAGGGATTGAAGGAAGAGCAGAATGATGTATCGAATCGGATCGGTGAGTGGAAATGGGAATGAGAAGAATACGACGACGATGAAAAGGACGTGCATGATGCTGCTGCCTGCGTTAGTAGTAGTTATGTTGAATGAAGGCAGTATAAATGCTGCTTGTTGTTTGATGTGCTGCTGGTGGTTGTATTATATGTGCTGAAGTGATTCAGTCAGTTAGTGATCGACTGAATTCGTCGATTCGATTGGTTCCTTCTTTGATGCGTTAGTTGTGTTATATCCATCACCTTTGATCGCATGAAATGTGTGTGTATGTTCATGCATGCATCATGCATCTAAACAGCATCTCACGCATCTCATCGCATACAAAACATATATTTACAATCATCATATGCCTGCTGCGGCTGATGCTGAGTTTAGCGAATGAATATTGCCGTTGTTGGTTTATGTACATACGCATACGTTGATGATATTGGATGGATGATTATTTGTATTACACAGAGCAGAGCAGAGCAGGACGGAGCAGAGCAGAGCGCTACGGCTTGCCTGATGTTGCCGTACGTCGGTCGGGCAATAGCAGTTGCAGCAGCACACCAACAGTTACTGATGCTGTTCGTGAAGCGGGCCGGGCCGTTACACTGCTGCCGACACAATCTATCAAGCAACCAAGCAGCCAGCCAACCGCCCCATAGCTTTGACTTCAAATATCGATTTGGTTTGAGCGGATGAATTTATCTGCCCGTCTATATCCATCCATACATCCGTCCGTCCATTTATTTATTCGTCCAAGCAGCCAGACTAGACTGGTCCAGCCGTCGGATCGGTCCAGCCCTCATTCAGCGAGCGATTCTTCAATCCGTCCAGTCCTGACATCCCAATAGAAATAATAACATCACGAGACTCGCGATTTGATGTCTACGCTCTGTCTCCGTTGTTCCATCAGTTGATCGTTTTTATAATGATATCCGATATTCGATTGCACGTAAAATATCGGTTAATCTAACTGACAATCAATCACGATTAACGTCGTCGTCTTCTCTCTCTCCATCGAAACATCAAACATCAGTAAATTAATTCCAAGCATATATGTGTTCGTTTATGCTTGATGTGATATGATAAGTTCATTGCTTGCATCATGTGAGGTGGATCCTTTTCATTGACAGTCAGTCAGTTGAGTAATCATGATTCATTCATTCATCCTGTTTCATCAATCCATTTATTCATAAATATTGTTCATCTATTCAGCACTAACTGTACTATTTGAAATCAATGACCGTTTCGTTTCTTCGTTGTCGTGCTGTGAGATCGTGGGTCGCTCGCTCGCTCGGTCGGTCGGCTGATCGTCGTTTCGCCGTTTTCACTCTCGTATTTTAGCGAGTTTTCGCCGTCGTCGTCGTCATTCGCCGCTGCCCATTTATTCAATCGAACGAACACAGCACTCAACCTGCTGCTGCTGCCGTTGCTGCTTGCTTTCTTTCTTCATTCAACCATTTTCTCCAGCATCTATCTCTTCCTTCGCCCCATATTCTATCGGCGTTCGCAAATTTCCAATTTCAAAAATATCTGTTGAGCGAGAATGATCGATTCCATTCGTTCCTCTTTCATTATACCCTCAGTTTGAAGGCTCTCTGTGGTTAAAGTGTTGTGTTAGTTTGCGAATAGCGCGATATTATTTTCGCTTTTGTTATTGTTTCCTCNCTCTTTCATTATACCCTCAGTTTGAAGGCTCTCTGTGGTTAAAGTGTTGTGTTAGTTTGCGAATAGCGTGAAATTATTCTTCTCGCTTTTGTTATTGTTTCCTCGTTCCGATTCACTGAATAGGTGAGCAGCGAAGTATAGTAATAGTGAGGTAGTAGTTACCACGAAGTACCACACTCTGCCACCATCAGAACCACCAGTCAATAGGCTGCTTGTTTGTTTGTGCATGTGGAATAGCCTAAGCCAAATTGTTGCAATTCACGTGAACGCTTTCATCGTAACTCCACACTTTGTTAGCTCCATCCATTAGTGAGCTGCTAGTGGCACCGCACCGTTCATTCTTATGTTCTACCATACGATCCAGTTTCTTTTACATTTCGTTTTCTTCTTATGATTATTCACACATTATGTGGTTGTTGGTTCGTGTGTGTGTGCCTATCTACCAGTCAGTCGTCGCTCGATTGCCGATGATGATAATCGGAGTGGAGTGAAGTACGGTGAAGCGAAGCTGAACTCAATATTGGACGATTGGTTAATGGGTGTGTGTGTGTGTTTGTGTGTACTGTTCACTGTTCAGTGTTCATTCATGATTGCCTTGGTTATGTCATGTGCATGCTCTTCAGTCTCCACAGCCGAGCGATCAGTTGATGTTGTCGAATCAGAGTATTACTCATTACTTCGTATTGAATGTTTGCTTGATTCATCGATTGTAGAACGAGTATGAAT